AGGATTCAGCTCTTTCTGGGTTGTCAGACTGAGGGTTTTGCTTTCTTACTGGCTGTTAATAGGAGATCACCCTTGGTTTTATGCCACAGGGGCCCCTTCTCATGGAAGTTTATTCCACCAAAGCCAACAAGAGAAAGAAAAAAGTGTATAGAACTACGATTTTATGTCAGATAAAGCATGGAAGTGATAGCACATCACCCTTTGCTATATTCTACTGGTTAAAAGCAAATCACAGGTCTCTCCCACGCTCAAGGGTAGGCTTATTCAGATTTGAGTACCAGGAGCCAGAATATCTAGGGTGGAGGTGCATCTGAGTCTTACCTGCACAAAATACTGATGCCTTCAATTAGGGATATACCTTTGTTTGCACCATGTGTAAAGAGCGATTGTTTTTTTATTCTCATTATCATTCACATTAATATCAACTATTGTTTCAAATATCTTCTGAACATCTACCAGGCATTATGCAAGGTATAGTTCATTGATGAGTAAAACCAGACAGTTTCTGTTCTCACAGAAATATAGTTAGAAGGAGAGAGAAAATAATTATATCAATAAATGTGAAATTACATTTTGAGAAATACTATGGAAATTTGTGGTGCGATGAAAATATGTAACATGAGGAAGTGACCTGATCTAGTGGTTGGGCACAACCTCTGGGAGAAAAATGTTTCATATGAGATATGAAGCCTGATCAGGGATTAACCAGGAAAAGCAAGTAAATGAATTCCATGGCCTGGGAAGAGCAAGTGCAAGGGGCTTGTAAGAATAGAAGCATCAAATGATTGACAGATGAAAAGTGTGACTGAAGCAAGGAAACCAAGAGGTATCCCCAACTCTCATTTCTCCTCTGGAGTTCACACCCATGTATCCACCTGCCTATTTGATATCTTCATCTGGATATTTTAGACTTCTCAAAATTAATGTGTATAATAGCAAGTTACTAATATTGGCTTGCTAAATTTAGTTCTTTCCCAGTATTCCCCGTTTCAGTGAATGGCACCACCATCTGTCTAATTGGAGATGAGAAACCTAGGAGTCATGGTTGACAATTCCCTTTTCTTCAGTTCTTCACCAAAATGTTAAGGACTTTATCACTAGTTACAGAGCAGTACTCACTATTTTCTAGATATACTAGTGGCCCAGTGCACAGATTCGTGCACATTGAAAGGCAAATAATTAGAAGAAATATTTTAATTTTGCTATTTGCCCTTTCTCTGTAATGGAAGTGTCAGAGCTGCCGCTGGTCACCGTCTGTGGAGCAATCCTCATCCTTCAAGACTTAACCTAAACATACTGCATTAAAAGTGTCCCCCTACCCTATGCAGAAAGAATCTCTCCCTCCTTGGTGATGTTAAAGATTTTGTAAACACCCTATTATCCCTGGCAGCCATTTGCTGGCAAGGGCTTCTCATGTACTCTATATACCAGGAAGAACCTCAGTTTGGACTCCTGGCTTCCTGCACTATGCCCTGCTTAATTACCCAGCTGAGTCAACTATTAAATGGAGCTCTTGGTTTTGTCTTTCCACCAAGGGACTAAGACCTGCCCCATCCAATCAGAATTGCTCCATAACGACCAATCAGGACTACTAACTCAGACCAATCGGAAGTATACAAATTTGGATATCTCATTTATGTCAAATGAACCTGAGAACCTGGGGAGAAACTTTCACTATAAAAAGCAGCCTCCCCTCTCTCTCCCTGGAACATAATTTAGGTTGCTTCCTGAATCATGTCTCTGGGCTGCAGTTCCTTTTGATCAAATAAATATTTTTATTCTTTATTATAGCCTAAAACAAATACCTTTGCCATTTCCACAGAATTAGGATTCTGCGTTTACTCAGGCTCAGGTTTGATATTGACTCTTTCACACACAGTCTGCTTTGCTTTGAGTTTTTCAAAACATTGCTTCATTTAAATTTTACCTAAATTTCATTCTGCTGCTCACAGGTGTGTTCCTGTGAGCTTTATCAGATGGGTTTTATCAATTGACATCAATGTTCATGACCATGATAAGTGCAAAACAGTAAATAGTGTTTTAAAATATAATTATGTGCGCCCTGGCCAGTTGCTCAGTGGTTAGAGGCTGGCCCTCAGACCAAAGGGTTTCCGGTTTGATTCCCGGTCAAGGGCACATACCTCGGTTGCAGGCTCGATCCCCGGCCTCTAGTCGGGGCGAGTGCAGGAGGCAACCAATGGATGTGTCTCTCTCACATAGATGTTTCCCTCCCCCCTCTTCTCTCCCTTCCACTCTCTCAAAAAAAAATAAAGAAAGATGTATTTTATTTTTAAGGTTAAAGGACAGTCATGGAAAAAAGATAATAATGGCCTTGGCCAAGCAGCTTGATTGGTTGGAGCGTTGTCCTGTGCACCGAGGGGTTGCAGGTTTGATTCCCAGTCAGGGCACATGTTTAGGTTATGGATTCAATCCTTGGTTAGGTGTGTGCGGGAGGCAGCCAATCGATGTCTCTCTCTCCCTTCTACTCTCTCTAGAATTAGTGGAAATATATCTTTGGGTAAAGATTAAAGAAAAAAAAAAGGTGATAATGATTTTACATAATCAATCCTTGATAGGCTGCCAAAGTAAGAGGCTAATCCTGTATCATTGTACAACAGCTTAATTCATAAATCCACTGGTGTTAACCTAGAATTGATACAATCCTAATTAGCTAGTTAATAACAGGAAAGGAGCAAAAGGGAAGCCAGACATTATAGGCATGTCATTTGGGCAGCTTCACCAGGAAGCTTCAACTTTGCACTCCCCAGGGAACCACTAGCCCATCCCCTGCAGAACACTGGGGGATGGGGTCCCACAAAGGGGAAATAGACCATGCTCAGTGAAGCTGGAGTGACTATGGAGGTGTCTGCCAGCCACACCTGGGAACAGATCATTGGCCAGAATAGGCATGGCCCATTGCAAGCCCCTAAAATTTGAGAATACATAATCCCCTAAACCAGAGGTGGGGAACATCTGGCCCATGGGCCACATAAGGCCCACAAAATCATTTGGTCTGGCCCTGCCAAAACATTAGGGGTGAACTAATTCAACGTTTGACCAAATATAGCAGGCTAATTTTTAAGCTGGTAATTCTGTATGGCTCACAAAAGATGTTATAAATATCCAAATGGCCGATGGCAGAAAAAGGTTCCCCACCCCTGCGAAAGGAATTCTCTCTTGGTTCCCACAGACATACAGACCCCACATGCAATGGACTGATGGGCTGCCGTTGGGAACACAAATTAAACTAGCCTCACGCAGGAGTGGACTATGCCCTAACACTGGCTTTTATTCCAGCCCTATTGAAGCCATAGCCACACTTCTTCCTTGGTGGGACAAAGGGAAGGGACCTTGGAAACTCAGGGGGATAATTCCACAGAAATAAAGCTTTCTTCAATATTTCATCCTCCCTTGCAAGTCTCAGAAAATTCTTTTTCTGGGATATAGCAGAATTCCACTCCCACAAGCAACAGGTGAGGATGAGGGACCCCCCCGCCGCTCCCCCCCCCACACACACACCCTGCCCAATTACAAAATGGGCAGTGGAAATTCTTACCAAAGTCATCACCCACATGTCTCTGAAAACAAAACATAAACATAGCTTATAAATCTAATTTCATAAACATAAATAAAACTTGGAGCCTTTTAGAGTTCAAGCAGATCCTGATAACATCAAAGTTTTGGGCCTTGTAAATTTCAGTCTTTAACTGTAAGTCTATATGTAAAGCTTAGCAGTAATTTTTTAAAGTATGTTTTTAAATTTTATTTTACTGACCTTATAGTGAGAGAGGAAGGGAGAGGGAGAGAGAAACACCTGTCAGTTGCCTTCTCCAAGCATCCAACCAGGAATCGAACTGCCAACCTTTTGGTGTATGGGAGACTCAAATCAACTGAACCACACCAGCCAGGGCAGTGATTTATTTTTATTATTTACAAAACTCCCACCCATCAATCACAACATGCATTACAGCACTTGCCAAGTAGGTCAAACTACTCTCTCATACACTTTTGGCGTTCAAGGTCTTATTAGTCTTTGAGAAAGCCTGTATTTTATTTCGCTCGCTTAGGACACTTTTTACATGCTAATTATCATTGAATGGAATTTTAAAAGAAACCTAATGAAATCCCAAAGCCTCATCTTTGTCATTAAAAACCTGAAAAGGTAATTCATCTCCTCCTGTCCTATAACACAGCTTATAAAAACAGCATTTTTTTTACAACGCCTTCGTGGTCTTGTAGAAAAGCTGCAAGTGCAACAAGGCAGCCACTTCCTACGTGTAAACACACTCTAATGCGATTCTCTCGTTTCTAATTAAAGCTGTAAATTAGTAGGAAAACAGTGCCGCCCACGAGCTCTTGAACTCCGGGAGCCACAACAGCCGGAGCCGGAATGAATGAGCGGAAGGACGCGCAGCGCCCCAGCCCACGGTCGGCCGGCCCCGAGGAAGGGCACCCCCCGTTCCGGGCATCACACCCGGCCCAGTTCCGAGGGCCCGGCCTCGGGCTCCGCTGGGAGCACCCAGCCCGCCCGTGACTCGGGGAAAACACCCATTTCCCTGACGGCGCCACCCCCCGAACCAGAAGGAAGAAAACCTACCCTGCTAGGGAGACCTTGACCTAGACCCTGCCACCCTGCCGCTCACTCTGCACCCTCCTCCCTTCTCCCTCCCCCCCACCCCCGCCACCACCTCCTCCTGCCACCCCCCCGCCCCCCGCTTCCCCGGGAGCCCCTCCCCTGGCCTGTCGCAGCGCCACGTCTCCCAGCGCCGAGCCACCAGCCACCCGCGAAGGCTTCCTCCAGTTAACCCGCCTGGGCCAACCGTCCGTCACCGGTCCCCGAGCCCGACGCCTCCGCCGGGCTCGAAAGAGGCGCCGCGAACAGCCACAGTCGCGCCCTCGCCCAGCGGCTCACGCCCCGCCCCGCCCGCGCCTACGTCACACCGCCCCGCCCACCGCCTCCCACGTGACCCGCGCCCCTCGCCCGCCGCCCGGGCGCGCGCGGCTGGATCGCGGCCGAAGCCGCCATTGTTCCGCCGAGGGAGGTCAGCCCGGCCTGGCACTGGCGCCCGGACGCCGCTTAGCGGCCGCCACTGGAGACACTCCCTCCGCCGCCCCCTCCTCCCGGCGGTGGCGGAGCGAGGCTGACGAGGGGGGAGCTGGGAGCCCCCCCTCCCCTCCCGGCGGCGTCAACGGCCGATCCCCGGCTCCGGCGCGAGGGGCGGCTGCGATGCGCTCGGCCTGAGGCCGTCGGCCCGGCCCTTTCTCGCTTCCCTTGAGTCTCCCGCGGCGTCGTGCGCCCCAGCGTCATCCCTCGAGTCCCTCTGACGGGAGGGAAGATGGCTGCACGGAGCTGGCAGGACGAGCTGGCCCGACAGGCCGAGGAGGGCTCGGCGCGGCTGCGAGAAATGCTCTCGGTCGGCCTGGGCTTCCTGCGCACCGAGCTGGGCCTCGACCTGGGGCTGGAGCCGAAGCGGTACCCGGGCTGGGTGATCCTGGTGGGCACGGGCGCGCTCGGGCTGCTGCTGCTCTGCCTGCTGGGCTACGGCTGGGCCGCGGCGTGCGCCGGCGCCCGCAAGAAGCGGAGGAGCCCGCCCCGCCGGCGGGAGGAGGCGGCCGCGCCGGCCTCGGCCCCCGACGACCTGGCCCTGCTCAAGAGTCTCCGGGGCGACGAGCAGAAGAAGAAGAATCGCAAGAAATTGCCCGAGAAGCCCAAAGTAAGTCGGGAGGAGCGGCGGGACGAGCAGGGGGAGGGGCTTCCCGCTCCAGCCGGGACTGGAAAAGGAAGAGGTGGGCCGGTAGCGAGCCGGACGCGGGTCTGTCTCCCCGGGAGGCGGCGGTCGGTGGGCACGTTACTTGGGGGGGAGGGGGCATGGGGGAAACTAGGGAAGCGTCGGACGGGTGGGTCAGACAGCCTCGAGGAAGGGAGTTGGACGGTCCGGGGTACGTTTCCATGCAACAGCCCGGGGGTCGAGCCGTTTCGGGAACCCCGAGGCCTGCGGGTCGGCTGCGCGCGTCCTGGGACCCTCGGGCGGCGGTGGGACCTGGTGGGACGTCTGCGCCCGGAAGACGACGTCTAGTTGGAGTCACGTTGTGACAGCGGCCACGGGAGGGAATAAATACGGTGACCCAGAAACGACGGGGCTGGCGGGGATGAAAGGTGCCCGGGTCTAGGCGCTTCCATTTTAGCAGGAACTGTTCAAAGGGAAATGGTTGCCCACGCTCACTCCTGTGCCTGCGGCCGGTGGGGGCCGGGGCAGGAGCCAGGCGAGAGAGGGAGTCGGTCGTCCGATGTACTTTGCGGGGGACGTGGCCCCGGGAGACAGCGGAGGCAAGTTGAGCAAAGTGGCGCGGGAGGGTTCGAGAGAGAGTAGCCGGGGATGACGGCGCAGAATGGTGCCGGCTGACAGGTTTCCGGGCTCCGATGGCCCGGACCACGTGCAGAAAGGCAGGGAGCATCATCCATCACCCCCGGTTTTATCGCGCCTCGGGTTTTGTTTCTGCGTCCGTTATTGCCATTTCCCCGTGGTTCTTCCACTAAATGTTGCATCGTTTTACTTTAAAAAAAAAAATACAGCTGAGCAGTAGAGTAGGAAGGGTGTGCAGAACTAGAACCCGCTCCTTAGCCTATTTTTAGATCCACTGAATTAAGCTCTTCGCCTTTCCAGTGCAATAAAGTCAATGAAGCCAAGGGCCGCCTCTGTGAAATTTACTCTGGTGTTTGGTGGACAGTAGGAGGTATACATTGAGGTTTTAGAGCCAATCATGGAGACTGGTGTAGGAGACAGACTCGTAACTCCAGTGTTGCATAAACGGATAGGTGCTGTGTGTGAGCAGTGTTAATGAGGCTTGGAGGGTGGGAGACTGAATTCCATGGGAAGAATTTAGGAAAGTTATTAGAGGAAGTGGGATTTGAATGCAAACGAAAGTTATAATAGTACAAAGAATAAGGATGCATTAGAGACTTGACAAGTCACAGGGCATTATTAGGCCTAGATAAATATTAACATTTTGCGTGCTGATTAAGAGAATGCCAGATACATTGTCTAGAAAGGGGTACAACTCAGTAGGGATACTAACTTTAAGTAATAGAAGAGAAAATAGTACTTATTTGGAGCATATGTAGCTATATTTAAATTTGTCGAGAATATCAAGGATTACCAGAAAGTAAGGTTATGGTGGAAATAGAGAACCTGGCCCCAAGATGAAGAAAGAGGATCTTGGGGGGAAAAAACACCACATGTATTAATAAGCCTCATCCCTGTGTGGATGAAGCGGATTGTGAAAATTTCAAAGCCCTGTTTGGGGCGCCTAAAATTGCAGATAGACTAGACTTGAATCGAGAGACAGGTGCTCCAAGAGCCCATCTGAAGTGCATCATGACACTCAGATGACTCATCTGAAGAACAGACTCCTGTGGAAAATGCTCCTCAGACCTAGGGCTTATCCCTTCCCCTTTTCATTTAAATTAAGGAAGGGGAATGAGTAAACAAATCTATTAGCGTTGGGGAGTGGAGAATGGGAAGAAAAAAACAAATGGTTGAATGTTAATTAGATGAGAAAGTATCTTTGTCTATTTAATGGTAAAAATGTGTGTTGGAGTTTGTCAACATTTACAAACTTGTGGCTTTCAAACCTTTTTGACTGCAACCTACAATAAGAAATATCTTTATATTACAGTACCCTCCCATACACATATCTAACCTGTTTGTTTTTCTTTAATGATATTTGTGACCCACTAAATTGTCACATGTCACATGTATGAGACATGACCCACAGTTAGAAAACACTGCTTTGTAGGGCTAAGAAGTACAAATTGCCTTTTTTTTTTTTTTTTTTAGTACTCATACACTTTGGAGAAAAGCAGGATGCTCTGCAAATTCCTGTAAAAAGGAATACAGTATTCATATTTCACCGGGAAGGGGATACAAAAGTAAAAGCTCAGCTTCTCCCTAGGGAACTTTTTACTCCAGTTGTGGAAAAAGATATACTTAGAAAAATTAACAATGCAACCCCATTGTGGGCCCAGGTGGAAATGAAAGACATAGTCACAGAGGAGCAGGATAGTGGGAGAGGCTGAAGAAACAGCAATGGCCCAACTCTGTCAGCCTGGCAGAGATGGGGAATCTAAACTTGAGTAAGGCATTTAACCTTGCTCTGTTTAGCTTATCTTGTTTATAAATTCAAGGTCTTAGTTAAGTTAAAATACTGCAGGATTCCTCAAAGTGTTAACCCCTGACTACTTGTAGTAGGGTCGTTTTGAATGCTTGTTAACATTTGTAGACTCCTGAGCCTCTCTACAGATCTTGTAAATTCAAAATTTCTGAATGGGTCCAGGAAATCTGCATTTTTAACAAGCTCCCATGGTAAATCCTTGCCTGTTAGTCTAAAAATCACTCACTGGAATAGGCTCATAAGAACTGTATAGCATTAAGAGGTTTCTAAATTCACTCAGATTTAATCTTATCCATTTCTTTATTACTGTGTCATTCTGATAGGCATTTTAGGATACACTTATTCAAGTGGATTCAGTTATGTAAACCATAGTTTTATTTTCTTCCTTTTCCCCCCATTATTTTTAGTTTTCTCTTAAATCCCTCCAAATTTTGCAACACAAATTTTCAAAATTTATTTCTAGTAGGTTGTTTTTATTTTTAGAGTCATAAGTGGTGTTGTTGTTTTTTAATTCTTATATTAGGTTGGTTTTTATCTTCTAATATCTTACCATAGGTCTTTTATGGCATGAATTGCAGTTTATTTAAAAGTGACGGGGGTGGCACTTTTCACTAGGCTTAGTTCTTGGTATTTTTGGAAATCATTGTTATCTTACATGCATTTTCCATGACACCTAGCTCAATGTATTAAACAGGCACTCAGTAAGAATTTGACTTAATCTGAGCAATTACTTAGATGGATGTAAGATCTCAGATAACTGGTCTTTAACAATTATTCCTATTCCTCATGCCTGGTAAACAGTCATATGAACTGTCTTTTTGCCTTATTGGGCTAAAATTTTGTAAGGTCCATCTATCTACAGCCAATAGATCATTCTAATAGTGTGTGATATCTTTTATAGTTATTATTTCTTTTCCAGTATCACTGCTACTACCCTATAGTTGGGCTTTGTTACTTTTTGCTTGGATTGTCCTAACAGATCCTAACTAGTTTTCCTGCTTTCGGTTTCTGTTGCCAATCCATTGTACCCACTCGTGTCAGTTAAATTTTTTAAAGCCCAACTGTAATCATGTGACTTTCCTGTTCACATCTTTTCAGTAGTTTCCCCATCACCTTTTGAATAAAATCCAGCCTATGTCATGGCACTCAAGCCTCTTCATGATCTGCCTCATCTCTTACCATTACCCCACAGGAATGACCATTAGCTAGACTTCTGCATCTCTTTATTTATATTATTTTCGTCTATTAAAAGGTCCTTCTTCTTGTGTCTCTACCAATTTCTACCTATCCTTCAAAAAGGCCCAACTACAGTGCTACTTCTACTATAAAGCCTTTCCTAGCTCCCCAGTTAGAGTTAGTCTTTTTCATGTGTTTATTTTTTGTATTTCATGAAAGCTAAAACCAAAAGGCAGAGTGTTGCCTGTGGGGCGACTCAGATTTTTTTTATGCTCTCTGTGTGTCCACAAAATGATCAGGAAAGCACCTCAAATATTGGGGTTAGGAATAAATTTTAGTGAGTAGGCAAATTTGCCTGTATGGAATCCACGGATTATGGGGATCAACTGTATATTAGTCATTATTTGTAACTGGGCCATTCCTCTCATCTTCGAACCTAATGTCTAGATATATACTTGGTATCTCCAATTGGAAATCTGACATTTGTCTCAAAGTTTAACATCTCCAAAACATAATTTCCTGCCAAAACTCAGAATCATTCTTGATTCTTCCCATTTCCCCACATCCTTGTGTCTTCTTCTCATAATTTAATCCATCAGCAAGTACCATCAATTTTACCTCCAAAATATATATTCAATCTACTTATTTTACTGCCACCTTAGCTTACAAGTAGCTTCTGTTGACTGCCTCCAGTCCTTTCTCAACAGCCTAGTAAGGAGTCTTTTTAAAAACAAATCACCTGATCTTGTCTAAAACCAACATTTCAGTAGCTTTTGCATTTTAAATCTAAACTACTTTTGTTTATGGCCTAGTATCTCCTTTTCTTCGTAAGCTGATTTTGCGTTAGTTTCCTCTCATTTGCTACCTCCAACTATAGTGATCTTTTTTCAGTTCTTCAAACATTTTCACAACCCAGTGCTTTTACTTGAGTTATGATTAACACTTGTAGAACAATCTTGTCCCACTCTTTTTATCAACCCTTAGAGCTCACCTCCCCAGAAAATCCTTTTCTGATCACCCTGTTTGAAATAGGCATCCCCTTCTATTTTCTGTCTAAACCCCTTGTATGTTACCTTTATTATAGTTATTCACAGTTTGTAAATTATTTATTTATCCATTTACTTTTTTGGGATCTTTTCCCTCCACTAGATTAATATGCCTGGCATATAATGAATGGCCTTTGATAATTATTTGTTGAACTAAATGTTGAACCAGAGTAGTTAAAATAACATCTCATTTGGCTGGTGTGGGTCAATGGTTGAGCATCGACCTATGATTCATCATTGATGATTCTCTCACTTCCTCTCTCTGAAATCAATAAAAATAAGTTAAGTAAGCAGACTATATAGTTGTAGATATGAGATAT